GGATGTCACAATTACATTCTGTCATCCGATGGGTGTGTAATAAAGTTCGGAAAAAAAAAAAAAATTGAACTTCGAGCTTGTTCAATTAAATAACTGTAGCCACCAAAATCTTTATTTTATAACTCATTGAAAATTGCAAATCATGCATTGAAAAACCTTTACATCCACCTTCTCCACTTATATGTTATGGTTGTAATAAAAAATTAAGATTTTAAGTTCTAAAAATAATTTATATTTTAACAAGTCCATTTTATTTTAAGAATAATTGTTCACATATTCATTTCTTGAGTTTCAAATTTTATTGTCGGTATTTTTTATTTTTTTTAACAATGTTAAAAACTTTTATTAATTGAGAGCTGAAACAGCATCGAATTGCACAGTAGGATTTAAAGTATCAGAAATAAGCATGGCAGGAGAGGAGATGCCAGATTTAGCAAGGCAATTTGCTGCCCATAGAGATTTACGTCGTAGTACTTTTAACGAGGATTTGAAGTAAGGCTTTTATTTTGTTTTCGTAAAGCCTAGGACTTATAGAAACCTCGTATTATTTTGTTTTCGTAAAGCTTAGGACTTATAGAAACCTCATCCATTTGTATAAGGCTGAAGCCCTGACCAATAAAAGTAAGGCACACCTTTAAATAGTATCTAAAGTTGTTGTTTTAGTAAAAAAAATTATTGTGATGGCCTGAAAATTTATCTTTATCTCTAATCATTAAATTTAAAGATTCAAAAATAGTGTGGATTGAGCCGTTTTATGAACACTTGAAAATCTCAAAAAATTGACGGTCTAGATAATATATTATAAAATGTACTATTTCTAGGACTTGAAGTCTATTTTTTTCTCCTGTCTATATAACTTGGGGTCGAGATGATCGAAATCAAGGTTTTCCAGCATCGAAACAACCTCTTGCAATAATTTTGTGAGGTGCGCCCTAATTTGATTGTTTAGGGCGTCACCTTATTATTATTGGAATACCAAAACTCTGTGGAAATTAGTTATACGCCTAAAAATTGGGTAGTCATAATGAAAATCAAGCATTTGGTAAAAGTTGCATGTAGAAGCGAAAATGAAGCGTAAAAGCAAAGTAGCACCTCAAAACCCTTTACGGCAATGTCGGCAATGTAGTTCTTACTCAAAATATAAGAAGAGTTTTTTCGCCCATTGTTATGAGAAACTTAGAAGTTTCTTTTGCCCTTGATTATAAAATATGAAGCTTCAAAAATTATTTGGATCTAATATATCAATAAATGCTTGAAAATAGATAATCAAGATAATAAGTGAAAAAGTAGACATCTGAGCTTGAAATTCATTTTTCATACCCGTAACTATTATTTAGATAAACAAAATTAGGATCTTCTCACCCATGCCGATGGTACATTTCCAAATGGTTTGGGATGCGGCTTTTCTCTTGATCTTAAGGTTTAGGGCATATAGATGAGGAAACATTTATACAAGGTGCTAGCTTTATAGGTCTCAAAAAGCTATGGAAAATGTCGTTCCAATATTGAAAAATCTCGACCTCGTAATATATGAATATGGAAACAAAAAAGATTTCAAGAGTTGAAAAAAGTGTATCTTGTAATTTATTTTTAGGATTGTCCATTTTCAAGATTTTCAAGTGGCTATATATTTGCTCCATTTGCGTCATTTTTTTATATTTCAAATTTATAATTTAAGGTAAAAATAGATTTTCAAGCTATCATAGGGATTTTCGATACTGAGATTACACTTTTCAGCAAAGCTTGGAGGTGCACCTCACTTTGAATGTTTAAGGTTGAAGCTTTATACAATCTGCACCCTATAGATAATTTTTTACTTTTTTCTTAAAGGGAAAAAATTATATAAAGTGTCAACCCTGCACTGTAGAAGTAAGGTGCACCTCAAAAATCCATCCGAAAGTTTGTTCGGATGTTGAAAATCCATCTAATAAATTATCTCGACCTCAATATGTGTGAAGACGAGACAAAAACATGTTTCAACTCTTGAAAATAGTGTCTTGTTATACAATATTTGGACTATCTATTTCAAAATTTCAAGTATTTATAGATCTAATTTTAAATATTTATAGATCTACTCAACCTATAACATTGTCGCAGGTTTAAATTTCATAATTAGGGATTAAATAGATTTTTAGGCCATCGTGAGATTTTCAATGCTGAACTTGCACATTTTATCAAGATTTAAAGATACACCTTGCTGTAATTATATATATATATATAATTATTTTTTGGGTAGTTTGGCAAGGAACAAATCCCCTAACCTTGATAGTACAGTATAGTGTGACGTCTTGCCACCATGACCACCCATGGTCATGCCATTCCTAAAAGTGTTTAAAATTGATATCTTATAAATGGTGGCCTTTCATATAGGGTGAGATTTGGATAAGTTTGCAATCTTAAATAATCAAATGAAGGGACTTTCAAACTTTGTCATGCAATTTTAGTATCGAAAATATTTAGGAAATTTAGAGAATCTATTTGTAAAATGTTAAACTCCAAAAATAGTTTAAATCAAGCAGAAATATAAGTGCATGAAAATTTTGAAAATGGATTGTTCAGATAATGTATTGCAAGGTGTACCATTTTTTGGATATTTTGGGAAAGATAAAATGAGACTATTTACTTTTGGTACAATGTGGTTACATGAATCTTGACCATTGGATGTGAAATTTGGTGACTGCAATTATTCCATTGACCAAATTCAAACTTCAAAAAAAAATTTATCAAACTTTGTCACACATCCAAGCTATCAAATTTCACATCGGATAGTTGTAAGTAATTGTGACTACTTTATATCACATGTAAATGATCTTATTATATACAATCCCTTAAATTTTCATTTTTTTATTTCCATAATGTTGAGATGATCTATTAGATGGTTTTTAATGTCGAAATAGCCTTTTCAGAAGGGGTTTTAAGGTGGGCATAAATTCTACAATCTAAGGTGTCAATGTTATATCAACTACTTCCCTCCTCAACGTCACTTGTGCTTTTCATGGGAAAAGTAATTATAGGGACATGGGGTTTACTATATCGGTCCAACTTGTTCAGCTGTTCCCAAATTAATTAACAAAATAAAAAATTTACATAAGGTTGGCACATAGAATTAAAGTGTATTTCAAAATCACTTAAAAATGCTATTTTGATATTGGAAACCCATCTAATCTCCATATTGAGATGCATGGATATAGAGAAAAAAAAAAAGATTTCACCTTTTCAACATTGATTCTTAGGCCATATTAAAAATTTCCATAAAGTTTGAAGAAGCGCCATCTTCAAACCTATGCTTTTGATAAAATATAAAAAAAAATAAAAAATAAAAAACTTACGTTAGGTTGAAAGCTTAAACTATTGGAAGGAAAAGACTGGGTGGTCCCGCTACGCCGCTTCTCAGATGCCATATACCCTCTGGCTAATAGGGAAATGCCACTGATAACTTGTGAAATTACATAGTTGGCCTCTAGTGCCGAATGGGGACGGTAACGACTGATTATTAACTTACCGTATTTGCAAAAGTTAAGAAAATAACCTTGAATAACCTTATAATTTCTAGAATGGCCTCAGTAGGAGTTATGGATTTGCTCGAAACTTGAAGGGTGGATTGACCTTTGAAAGCGACCATTCAACGTATAAGACATTGAATGAAGTTGTTGCTTAAGTAGTAGGGGATGCAAAGGCATAACCCCTTTTGTAATTATTGCAAAATTGGATTTCCAGTCAAATATCGTTTTGTTTTAATTTAGTTGTTTAAAAAGCGGATCGGTGTCTAAGATCGGGCACCTCAAAATCTATTTGGATCGGTGAATCGACTATGTGGATAAAAAATTAATTGAATCGGTCGAATTAAGTCTTAAAAAAAATTTCAAAAAATTATTAAAAATTATTATAAATATTATTTTTTAAGAATTCAATAAAAAATGAGTATATTTCATTAAAAATTTTCATTTCTTTACATGAATATGTAAATATTGATATGTTCTTTTCCTGCATGAACTACTATTTACCATTTAATTTACATCACATAAAAGGATGAACATAGAATTATCATAAACTACCCCATGTTGCCATGCAGGATCTTCCACAGATCTTGCCATGGTTCAACTATTTTAATATGTAAAGGGCTAAAAATTAACCTGACAAGTCAACATAAAAAATAATCACCATGTGTAGTGATAATATGTAGGGGTAGTTCATGAAGTTATATTTGTTGTTAATGCAAAACACTTCTATTGACAAAAATATTTTAGTTCCTACTGAAAAAGATAATTTATTTCTGCAACATTATAGATAAAAATAGCATTTATCAGCCACTACAT